TTACCTGGTTGATGTGGGCCTCAGAAAATGTGCTCAGTATTATACTCACCCCAAGATCTTTTTCCATGAGTGAGGTTTGCAGTCTTTGGCCACCTAGACTACACTCATGACTTTGCATTTGGTGAGGTTAAATTCAAGAAGCCAGTTGCTGGACCAGGCTTGTAGCCTGTCCAGGTCTCTTTGTAGTCCTGCCTGATCCTCATCTGATTTAATTCTCATCATTACCTTCACATCATCTGCAAACAGGGACACTTCTGAGTCTATCCCTTGTCATGTCATTCACATATACCAAAAACAGCACAGGTCCTAGGACTGACCCCTGTGGAACCCCGCTCATCGCAGGTGCCCACTCCGACACCTCGTCTTGTACCATGACTCGTTGTTGCCTCCCTGTCAGATGTTCTCTGATTCATTGCAGTGACTTTCCTGTTATGTGTGCCTGATCCTATAGCTTTTGCATTAACCTCTTATGAGGAACTGTGTCAAAGGCCTTCTTGCAGTCTAAGAAAATGCAATCTATCCACCCCTCTCTCTCATGTCTTATTTCTGTTACCTTGTAATAAAACTCCAGTAGGTTTGTGACACAGGATTTTTCTTCTCTGAAATTGTGCTGGCTGTCGTTTATAAGTGTTTCTTTCTAGGTGCTCCACCACTCTCCTCTTGACAGTCATCTCCATGACTGCATACTATACACGTCAGTGACACAGGTGTGCAGTTTAATGCCTCATGTCTGTGTCCTTTCTTAAAAATTGAGACATCATTTGCCATCTTCCATACCTCAGGTAACTGCCCAGTTTCAATGGATGTGTTGAAGATTTTTGTTAGTGGCACACACAGCATCCCTGCTCCCTCTCTAAGGACTCAAGGAGAGATGTTGTCTGGTCCCACTGCCTTTGAGTTATCAAGTTCATGCAGCAGCTTCTTCATCTTCCCTCAGTTGCGTGTATTTCATCCAACACCTGTTGGTGTATCCCTTGTTCGTGTATCCCTTGTTGGTGTACCTCCCTATTCTGACTTCCTGGAGTCCTTCCTGTACTCACCTATTTGTGGTTACAGAGGTCGATAGCTCCAGGCCCCACCTCTTCACTGATCTATACTAGGTCCTCTCTCTCCCTGCTCCATGAGCTTTATCAAACCTCATGTTAAAACTATGTATGGTTCCTGCCTCAACTACATCACTTGCCAAACTATTCCACTGCCTGACAACTCTATGACTAAAGAAATATTTCCTAATGTGTGTGTGTGTGTGTGTGTGTGTGTGTGTGTGTGTGTGTGTGTGTGTGTGTGTGTGTGTGTGTGTGTGTGTGTGTGTGTTTGTGGTGTATGTGTGTGTGCATGTGTGTGTGCATGTGTGTGCATGTGTGTGCATGTGTTGTGTGTGTGTGGTGTGTGTGTGTGTGTGTGTGTGTGTGTGTGTGTGTGTGTGTGTGTGTGTGTGTGTGTGTTTTGTGTGAGAATGTGTGTGAGAATGTGTGTGAATGTGTGTGAGAGTGTGAGTGTGAGAGTGTGAGTGTGAGAGTTGAGTATGAGAGTGTGAGTATGAGTGAGTGAGTGAGTGGGTGGGTGGTGGGTGAGTGAGTGAGTGAGTGAGTGAGTGAGTGAGTGAGTGTGAGTGTAGTGTGAGTGTGTGAGTGTGTGTGTGTGTGTGTGTGTGTGTGTGTGTGTGTGTGTGTGTGTGTGTGTGTGTGTGTGTGTGTGTGTGTGTGTGTGTGTGTGTGTGTGTACTCACCTAATTGTGGTTGCAGGGGTCAAGACTCAGCTCCTGGCCACGCTTCTTCACCGACCGCTACTAGGTCCTCTCTCCCCCTGCTCCATGAGCTTTATCATACCTCGTCTTAAAACTATGTATAGTTCCTGCCTCCACTACATCACTTGCCAGACAATTCCACTTCCTAACTACTCTATGACTGAAGAAATACTTCCTAACATCCCTTAGACTCAGATGAGTCTTCAGCTTCCAATTGTGACCCCTTGTTTCTGTGTCCCATCTCTGGAACATCCTGTCTCTGTCCACCTTGTCTATTCCACGCAGTATTTAGTATGTCATTATCACGTCTCCCCTAACCCTCCTGTCCTCCAGTGTTGTCAGGCCGATTTCCCTTAACCTTTCTTCATAGGACATTCTCCTTAGTTCTGGAACTAGCCTTGTTGCAAACCTCTGCACTTTCTCTAATTTCTTGACATGTTTGACCAGGTGTAGGTTCCAAACTGGTGTTGTGTACTCCAGTATGGGCCTGACGTACACAGTGTATAATGTCTTGAACGATTCCTTACTGAGGTACCGGAACGCTATTCTCAGGTTTGTCAAGCGCCCATATGCCGCAGCAGTTATCTGGTTAATGTGTGCTTCTGGCGATGTACTCGGTATTATACTCACTCCTAGGTCTTTCTCCTTGAGTGAGGTTTGCAGCCTTTGGCTACTTAGCCTATACTCTGTCTGAGGTCTTCTTTGCCCTCCTCCGATCTTCATGACTTTGCATTTGGCGGGGTTAAATTCTAGGAGCCAGTTTCTGAACCACACATCCAGCCTGTCCAGGTCTCTTTGTAGACCTGTCTGGTCCTCATCTGATTTAATTCTCCTCATTAACTTTACGTCATCTGTAAACAGGAACACTTCTGAGTTTATCCCTTCCGTCATGTCGTTCACATATACCAAGAACAGCACTGGTCCCA